TACATATAAAATGTATGTTTACATGATATTATAGTCTATTAAGTATGCAATAGGATAATGTCTAAAAATGTACATACCTTAATTTAAAAATAATTTATTGCTCAAAAATGCTAACCATCATCTTAGTCTTCAGTGAGTCCTAACTTTTTGCTGGTCAGGGTCTTGCATCAATGTTCATGGCTGCTGACTGATCAGGGTGGAGGTTGCTGAAGGCTGGGATGGCTGTAGCCATTTCTTAAAATAAGACAACAATGAAGTTTGCCACACTGCCTTCCCCTCTCATGAATGCTTTCTCTGTAGCATGCAATGCCATGTGTCAGCATTTTACCCATAGAAGGCCTTTCAAACTTGGAGTCATTTCTCTCAAACCCTGCCATTACTTTATCAAATAGGCTTATGTAATAGTGTTGTTGTCATTTCAACAATCTTCACTAGGAGTAGATTCCATCTCAAGAAACCACTTTCTTTGCTCATCCATAAGAAGCAACTCCTTATCCATTCAAGTTTTATCATGAGATGCAGCAGTTCAGACATATCTTTAGGTTCCAGTTCTAATTTTTTCTTCACTGAAATCATGAACCCTTCAAAATCATTGGTGAGGATTGGAATCAACTTCTTTCAAACTCCTGTTAATGTTGATATTTTGACCTATTCTCATGAATCAGGAGTGTTCTTAGTGGCATCTAGAATGGTGAGTCCTTTCCAGAAGTTTTTCAATTTACCTTCCCAGATCCATCACAGGAATCGCGATCTATAAGTGTTATAAAGCTTTATAACATGTATCTCTTAAATAATAAGACTTGCAAGTCAAAATTACTTCTTAATAGATGTTGCATTAGCTGGCATGAAAACAACATTTATTTCATTGCACATTTCCATCAGAGCTTTTGGGTGACCAGGTGCATTGTCAATGAGCAATATTTTTAAAGGAATCTTTTTGTCTGAGCAGTAGTTCTCAATAGTGGGCTGTAAACAGATGTGCTGACATCCAACCTTAGTTTTTTTCCATTTACAGAGCACACAGGTAGAGTAGACTTAGCTTAATTCTTAAGAACTCTAGGATTTTAAGAATGGAAATGAGCAATGGCTTCGATTTAAACTCACCAGCTGCATCACCAGCTCCTTACAGGAGACTCAGCCTATCTTTTGAAGCTTTGAAGCCAGGCATTGACTTCCTCTCTAGCTATGAAAATCCTAGATGGCCTCTTCTTTCAATACTAGAGGCCTGAAGCATGAAAATTTGTGCAAGAGTAAGCCTTCCTTCCCAGGGCTGCTGGCACTAGTTTCCCGCAGGCACCTGGGTCCTGGGCTGCTTCCTGCCAGCCCAGGCTTCATCAGGAAGGGCATCAGTCTAATTAGCATATTACCCTTTTATTATGATAGATAAAGCTGTTCCATCTACATTGAAAATCTGTTGTGTAGTAACCACTTTCCGTAATTATCTTAGCTAGATCTTCTGGATAACTTGCTTCAGCTTTTACATCAGCACTTGCTGTTCCACCTTGCACTCTAATGTTATGGAGACTGATTCTCTGTGTTATAGAGACAGCCTCTTTCCCTCATGAACCAACTTCTGCTAACTTCAAACTTTCCCTCTGCAGCCTTCACAGAACGGAAGAGAGGTGGGGCCTTGCTCTGGATTACCATTTGGTTTTAAGGAAATGTTGTGGTTGATCTATCCAGATCACTACAACTTTCTCCATATCAGCAATGAGGCTGTTTCACTTTTTATCTTTCATGTGTTCATTGGAGTAGCACTTTTAATTTCCTTCAAGAACTTTTCTTTTGTATTCACTTCTGGCTGGTTGGCACAATAGCTTTCGGTCTGTTTTGGCTTTCAATGTGCCTCCTTCATCATTTCTAGGAATTGATTTAAAATGAGAGATGTGCAGCTCTTCTTTTTACTTGAACACTTATTAACTGCCCTAATTTCAATATGTATCTCAGGGAATAGGGAGGTCCAGGAAAGGAAGAAAGGCAGAGGAATGGACAGTTGGTGGAACATTCAGAACATACACATTTACTGATTAATAAATTCACTGTTATATGTTGGCGAAGTGCATGGTACCTAAACAGCTATAATAATAACATCAAATCACCATCACAAATATAATAACAATGAAAAAGTTTGAAGTATTGTGAGAATTACCAAAATGTGACACAGAGACCTGAAGTGAACAAAATCTCTTGGAAAAATGGTGCCAATGGTGCCTTCCTTCCCCCAGCTGCCGGCACCAGCTTCCCACTGGCACCTGGGCTTCCCTCTGGCACCTGCGCTTCCCTCACAGCCCTGGCTTCATCCAGAAGGACATCTGGTCTAATTAGAATATTGTGCTTTTATTATTATAGATAACAGCCCCCTCTGAAAAGACAGGTTTTGGTTGACTGCAAATTTAATGTAAATTAATAGTGTATTTGACTGAGCTGCTGAAAGAGCTAATTTATTTTTAGATGAATTAATACAGTATAGAACTTTAAAAGGAGAGGTGATAATCATAGAAGGATGAGAGGAGAAAAAAGATAAGTCATGAGCAATTGTTGAAAGTATCAGTGATGCATATCCTGCAGAAAGAAAAGCTTCAGATAATAGGTTGTCAGCTTCTAGAGGGACAAAAAAGAGTGGAACTAAGACAAATGAGTTATAGTGATAAGAAGGTAAATTGTAACTCCCTGAGCCAAATATATATATTTTTTGTAACCATTTCAACTATTAAAAAATGTTATGAAACATTTTGGGATTGGGAAATGTGAGTGTCCAGTTGGGAAATGTGAATTTGAAGCTGGGAATACTGCAAGGGCTTTATTCACTGAATAGAAGTTTAGACTATATCACTTTCACTTTCCCAAGTATAAGATGAATAATCCTATTATTACTAAAATATGGCCCAGAGCAACCAGTGTGGACCAATGTTCCAAAATTTCCAAACCAAAAATGTTAGATAGGAGCTATACCTTTGGGGAAGATCTGGACCTACCAATCAAAGATTATTCAACTGACTCCAAGGATGTTGGTTCCATGGGCAAAATCTGACAAGTAGAGCTCCAATTAGTAAATGGAAAGAAGCACTGTATAATACTATAAAACTCTAAGAATATGCAATTTCCAAATGTATTTACTCTTTCCAAATTCCCCCAGATGTTAGCTTTTCGAAGAGCAGAGAACTGCTATACCCTATATTAGTTAGTCCTTTTAACCTAACCCACTCTATAATTAGAAACCATACTTTTATATTCAAAAACAGTTGAAAGAGATAAATTACATTAATATTGACAGCTACAAAGCTAGCTAAATAGGAAATGTGTTATAATAGGTTCACAGTACTAAATCAAATTACTATGCTATTTCAGTGTTTTCTTGGCATATCAAAATATAAGTTATAGAATTTAAGTAAGATATGTTAGTAGGTTTGACTTCCTTAATTGATTTCCCTAAATATTTGCACAATTAAATGTGTTTGAAAGCAGAATGGTTTGCAGATCAAAACACTGTCAGGTACACAATCTATTCCTCTATCTTTTTTTAAATGTTTTTATTTTTATTGACTTCAGAGAGGAAGGGAAAGGGAAATAGAGATAGAAACATCAATGATGAGAAAGAACCATTGACTGGCTGCCTTTTGCACACCCCTTACTGGGGGGGTTGAGCCCATCACCCATACATGTATGTGCCCTTGACTAGATTCAAACGTGGGACCTTTCAGTCCACAGGCCAACGCTCTATCCACTGAGCCAAACCAGCTGGGGCTATTCCTCTATCTTTTAACAGTTCTCTTTTGATTATCCACAGTAATGTCCAGGAGAAATACCATGAAAGCTTCAAAACAACAGACTAGTCAAATTTAAGTTTCTGTTCTCCTCTCCCAAACACACACACACACACACACACACACACACACACACACACACACACACGTTAACCTCTTCTATATCAGAGACTGTTAGTTGCCTCCAAGGTCTCTCAACTGAATAGAAAGAAACCAAATTTTTTGCTGGACATATCAATATATTCCCCAACTAAAAGATAACACTCTCCTAGTTCTCTTGAAGCTAAGTATTTTTCTTGCCTGAACTTTGGCCATTAAGATATATAGACTGAAGTTGGAAGTCTTACAAAGGGGGTAGATTCTTCCACATTCCCTTATCCTACTATCGGTCAGTAAGGTGGGTGTGATAGCTGCAGTTCCAGCCTCCAGCTTGAGCCATGATAATGAGACCACTCTAGGAAAGCTAGATGCAGTGCTCCCCTCACCCCCAAAAATTCATATGTTGAAACTCTAGTTCCAAAGCGGTCATTGGAAGTGGGCTTTTGGGGGATTAGCAGGTCTTGAGGGTGGAATCTTCATAAATGAGATGAGTGCCCTGACAAGAACAGGCTGGAAGGCTAGCTAGCTTTCTTTCCTCCATGTGAGGATATAGGGGAGACGCTCTAAAAGATGAAACAGGGTCCTCCGACCTCAGACTTCCAGCCTCCAAACCTGTGAGAAATAAATTTCTGTTTTCTATAAACCACTTAGGCTACGGTACTTTGTTAGGGCAGTCACATGTAGCTAACTAAAACACCAGGAAAAAAAAAAAGTGGAATATAGATCCCTGACAACTGCATCGAACTGCCATTTCAGCCTGGGATTCTCAACCTTCAGATTTCTTTCATTTAGAAAAAAAAAAAATTAATCTTAATACTATTTAGGGTTTTCAGTTATGTGCAATCTAATCAGTTCCTAATTAGTAGGTGCTGATAAGTCAGGCGTATTTTACAGTATTCTCATATATGAGGTCCACGTAACTGTTCGCAAACTGCACTTCCTGCAGTGTCAAAAGTTTACTTCTTTAGTGTATTTGATTCTGGTAATAACTCCCTCAGATTTAAAACATCAAATCACTCTCTACTCATCCTCCTCCATATCTTAAATCTTTCCTTCGTTTGTCCGAGAAGCTTTTTTCTTCCACCTACCCCTAAAATGTTAGCCTTTCCTAAGATTACTTCATGGTCCTCTTCTCAGTCTACATGTTTTCCTCAGACCTACTATGCCAGTCAATGGAACACAGTTCGTATTTACACCACCAAACCTCAGTCTCCAACTCAGAATATGCTAAAAGCTCCAGATTGACTTAGTCAACTGTTTACTGAGGATAATCAGCTGAATATCCTCTAGGCAACTTAAATACCACATTCCTCTCCATTCCTCCTTTTAGTTAACAACACATCTAACCTGATCGCCACCCTCAGTTCCTTCATCTTGCCTGATATGCAGTTACTATATATTCTAGATCCTATAATCTAAGGCTCATCTCTGTCTACTCTGGCAATGTCCTCACCATCACTTCCCCAGATTGCTGTAATAGTATTAACACTGCTCTTCCTTTCTCCTAACCTTACTGCTCTCCATAGTGAAGTCAAAAGATCATTAAAAAAGATTAATCTTTTAAAGATGTTTCTATGCTCACTGGTGGGTCAGACCTATTGGATAAAGACCAGATATCCTAATGTGGCAAATATGGCCTGCCCAGATTTGACAACTGCCTCTTTCTACAAACTCATTTCTCTAAACCCACATAGCATACCCATGAAACCAAACTGAACAGAACAGTTCTATGATTGGCAGTCTTTACATAGTTCCACTATATAGAATTCTCCCCTTCTGTTAAACCAGGAAAATGGTTTCTCCTTTCTTAAGAGTCTAACCCCATGTTTCTTAATTGTGAAACCTTTTCTGACCATCCTCTTCTCTCAATTTTCTTCTCCTCTCTTTGTACCACTGTTGTAGGAATTGTGCAAATAAGTGATTACGACAGAGTATTTTATCTAGTTTTTCTTTTAGAATTTGAGACTTGGAAAAAATATGAATTATCTTTGCATTTCTGACCTGGTGGATGTTATAGGAAGGAGGACAAAACAAAGGAGAAAAGGAAAGAGAAAGGAAAAGGGAAAGAAGAAAAAAAAAAGAGGAAAGTCTACTTGAGTAAACCTTGCAACAAGTTAATGAGGAAAATTAAGACCTGGGAAAATGTTTTAATGTATTTAAGATCACTCAGCAATTAATATGTAGGGTAAAAAGTATAATCATCCACTTTCTCTCAAGTGTACTTTAGACTCAGTATACTAGTAATGCCCTTCCTTTCAAGTCTATTCTCTTTCTCCCCAATCTCTCAATATTCTCCACTTTCTCTAACTAGAGCAGGGAATTTGTTTCTAAAATTAAAATTCTCAAGGCATATAAAGTTGACCATCACAGTTCCGGTTTCCAATCTAGCAAGTAAGGATATAGATGTCTTCATTCCGTCCTAGCAAGTAAAAAGCTGAACAAACTGAAAAATTAACTCTTCTTCTATCTGTAAAATCAAACCAGCAACCTAACTATGTGCCTAGAATTGAACCCACAATCTTTTGGTGTCCAACCAACTTAGCCAGGGCCAAAAGTAACATTTTAAAAACTGATCCATGTATCTATGGACATTTAAATAGTTCCTAATGATATTACAATCAAAAGGAAGTGTCAATAAAAGGAAACCCTATACAGGCAGAGCCTGACTTACAAATGTTGATCCTGCAAATCTGCTGCATCTGAGAAATTCAAGCCCTTGACTAGGCAGACTGCCAAGATCCCAGTTCCCTTTTTGGGCAGCTACTGTAAAACATTTCCCTAAAGTTCCTTGTTCTGCTGCATCCAACCTACTCTACCCCACTTCTTTAATGACCATATCCCAATACTATTCCATTTCCCCTGAACTTCCATCCTTCCTTTCTAGGCGCCAAAGCTTTCCACCTCCAGAATGATCTTTCATACATGTGTGTCCAGGTAATACTTTTACTGTTTCCCTAACTGCCTGAAGCCTATCACTCCCTCCTGTCATAGCCGCAGAGGACACTCCTCCTCTGGCCATTGACTCCTCCTCAGCAGGTGAGGAAACCTCTCACTGCCAAAGGGCTCAGAGGGGAAGGGGAACACTCCCTATAGAGAGTATGGAAGCCAGCGGGGAAATGAGGGAACATTTTTCTGGTTATTGGAATTACTTGCAAAGCTAACTAGATTCTCTAAATTTTTAGCTTTTTTTTTTTTAATTGTTTATTTTTCAATTATACTTGATGTACAATATTGTATTAGTTTCAGGTGTACGACCCTAATGTTCTACATTTATAGAACTTACAAAGTGATTATCCCGATAAAGCCAGTACCTATCTGACACTATATATAGTTATCACAATATTATTGACCATATTTATTCCCTATGCTCTAATTTACTTTCCCATGACTATTCTGTAACTACCGATTTGTACTTCTTAATCCCTTCACTATTTTCACCCTTCTCCTCAGTCCCCCTCCCAACTGGCAACTGGCAAAATGTTCTCTGTGTCTGAGTTTGTTTCTGATCTGTTTACTGTTTTTTGTTTTGTTTTGTTTTGTTTTTAGTATATCCACATATAAGTTAAATCATATGGCATTTTTCTTTCTGTCTGACTTATTTCACTCAGCATACCTCCAGGCCCATCCATATTATTGCCGATGACAAGATTAATTTTTTAATTGCTGAGTAATATGGCATTTGTCAGAGAACTTTGATTTCTCATTCTATGGTTAAACCTTATACCCAAGCTTCAATAATTGGGAATCAGAGCACTTATTTTTTTTAAATTATTTTAAAAATATATTTTATTGATTTCTTATAGAGAGGAAGAGAGAAGGACAGAGAGCCAGAAATATTGATGAGAGAGAATCATCAATCAGCTGCCTCTTGCACACTTCCTACTGGGGATGTGCCTGCCACCAAGGTACATGCCCTTTACCAGAATCGAACCCGGGACCTTTCATTCTGCAGGCCGACGCTCTATCCACTGAGCCAAACCGGTTTTGGCCAGAGCACTTATTTACATAGTCTTGCTGTTTACTACAACAGACAAGCTGGTCATTTTAATGAGGGATTTTTGTCACCCCCTTTTTTATATCCCCAAATATCTTATTCAGTATTCTTTGTGTGGTGGCTACTTTATTAAAGTGGTCCAATATTTAATTAAGGATTTAAATAGTAAATCGGTTTGCCCATTAAATTCTAAAAACCTTCATTGTTTACAGAGCTTTTTAAAAATTATTTAAATAATTCAATAGATGTTTAAAAATTAGATTTAAAAGTGAGCTTTGAGGACACACAAGTTATTTCACAGATATTAAGCCATGACAAAACATATGAACCAATAATGACAGAATACTCATGTAGTGCCAGCAACCCAGGAGGATCCTCAAAACTCAGGCAGGCATCCTAACCAGAATGGCAGTGCCTATCAGATGAACACAAAAAAACTTGACATTGATAAAGTGAGTCCCTGGGCCAGCAGAAGCACTTCAGTCTATCTGAGGAGGCCCAGAGGAAAACACAATACGTATTTCCAAGAAAAAAAGATGGAATCATTTTTTTAAACTCAATTGTTTAAATTTAACTCCTCTTTCACTTGATTGTTAAGTACTAAGTCTAAGTCTTTGTCTTTATTTTCCTAGTAATAGAAAACACTAGATTTATTAATGTTTATTAATGTCTTCTATTGAAAGAGAAAAAGGAGCCTAATAAAAATCAGCTCATTTCAGATTATCTTTCGCCTTAAATTAGTTTTGCTGTTTTTGTTGTTTATCCATAGATCAAGAATTTGGTGCCAAGATTTTCCTTGTTTACACTGTTTCCAAAATGTAGATAAATTCTACATTTTGTTTTCTTATTTATTATATTTATCTGTGTAATAAATATACTGATGTAGAGCTGAAAATATTTGCTACCTAAAATGAATAAATGCCAACAGAACCTGGCTATGGGCTGTCCTGCTGTTCAATGTGCACAGTGGTATACAATTCATGGTAATATGATAGTAAAAGGTATGGCAGGCTTTCACTATCTCTAATTCACCAACTCCTATAAAAACTATAATCTTATGTATGCTTTCCCAGTTACCTATACATCTCGTGAAATACTAGGGGCCCATCCTCCATGCCCCTGCCTAGCCCCTCCCACTGTGCCCTGCTCCAGTCTGCTGGCAGCCCTGCTCCCACCACCACTGCCCCCGCACACTGAGGGCACTGTCCCTGCTCACACCCCGTGATGGCGTGGAGAGATTGGGACTCATACCAGCAGTTGCCTATATATGTGAGAGATAAAGAAACTTGGAAATATTTAGTACAGATTTTATCATTCTCTTATCAATCTCCCTATAAAATATTGGATTTTTTAAAAGCCACTTAATATGTTAGAATTCTTAAAGAATCGATTAACAGAAAGCATAATAGAACTGACTCTCCTTAGGATATTGTAAGTGATAAGCCATGGAAATAGTTACTTGACAAAATACCATAGATATATTTTAAACTATATTTATTCTACACAATTTTCCAGAAGCAATTAAAATAAAAAATAATCAATTGATCTTCATAAGTCTAAAAAGTTTAAATGTACTTAAAATAACCTTATACTTTAGGATGTAAAAACCATAAATACACTAAGACAATTAAATTTATCCTAATTAGATTAAACTAATCAGCAATTGTGCAAAACCAATTACTTAAAACCTTTGCTTCTTACGTCAGAGTTTTTGTTAAGTCAAATCCTTCTTTTAGCTCCCTCATCTTATTCCTGGCTTTTTTTCTGTAAAACTATAGGAAATATCTCAAAATTATTTGACCATAAATACTCATACCACATAAAATTTAAACGTGGTCAAACATTCTAAGTTGGATGTTTTGGAAAGCAAATACACCTATAATGAGTCTGTACTGTAATCTAGAAACAAACTTACTCGTTTTGAACAATTACTTACAGCTCCAGTCTCTATACTTTTGCTTGGGATACTCCAGTTCTTTTCTCTTCAACTATGCCTGATCAACACAGCTTCCTGGAATTAGTTCAAGCCCCATTCTGTGTAGTTATTTTCAGACTAGTAGCCTGGTGCACGAATTCATGCACATTGAAAGAAAGTTAATTAGAAAAAATATTTTAATATCGCTATCTGCCCTTTCTCTATAATAGAAGAGTCAACCAAATTCACGATCGACAATGACAGATTGAAACACACATTGTGTGATTGGCGCCAGCAAGAGCTTTATATGTATCTTGCATACACGAGTCAACTTAGCCTTTTATAGACATGAATAAACTTGCTTAATTAGACCTGCTTTCTTATGTAGCTAAACCTTTTCCAGCTCAGTGAAGCACCCCAAGTTCCCTTTTAGGTAATTATCAACAACACAGCAATAAATACAACATGAACCAGATTATTATTGTAGATCACACAGGGAGAACAAAGGATAAAATATTTAACTGCAGCAGTGTTTGACTATATTCTGTGCAGTGAGAAAACCTAAAGTCATTTTCAAGGTCCACCATTTCTTCTTTTTAGTCAGGTCAAGTTTCTAAACTTTCTAAATCTCCGTTTTCTGGCTAATTAAAAGAAAATAGGATTCTACCATGTTTCCTATCAACCTACTCCTGGACTTCTGTGAGGATCAAATAAGATGAGACGTGGGAAAACACTTCACAGACATTTGGTTAGTGTGAAATGTTTCCACCTGGCTATAAAGCAAGTCATGTTTGTGGGCTGAAGAAACTTCAAAGAGGCTAGTCATTGCTAGGAAGAGGAGGCTGGGTGTTGCTATGTGACTTCATTACCTGGCTCCCACAGCAACTGTTTCCGACTGGGCTGGGCTGTGGGCCACATTATGTGCCATGGGGTCTCTGCAGTGTCAGCTGTGATTTGGTGGGCTGTCGCTCAAAGGTGGTGGCGGGGCCTGTGTTCTACTTGCGGGGAGTCAAGTGTTGCTTTGTGGGTGCCAGATCCACAGTGCCATTTCTCTTTGTGCATCATGGCAGCTCCTGTGTTGAGCACCTGGCCCCCTGGTGGTCAGTGCATATCATAGTGGGTGGTAGGACAGTCGAACACTTAGCATGTTAGACTTTTATATAGATGATTCTACCCAACAGATAGATATCTTTGTCCCCCACCTCAGAATGCACAGTATTTACATTACAGCCTGAATCGCAGCATATATTATGTTACATCTTGTATTATTACTTTATACTACTACTTAACTTTTCACATATTACAGCTTTCCATCTCTGTATATACTGTAACCTTTGAAGACAAGAAACATTTCTTTTCCTTCTTTGAATTCTGCACTACACCTTCAACGGAGTAAGCAAATAAATTATGTCATAGTGTAATAAAGTTTCAAAGCTGGATCTGCACATCTCTCATTTTACAGATAAAAAGGAAGCCTGGAAAGGTGAAATTACTTGCCCAAGGTTATTCGATTAGTTGGGAACTGAATCACAGCAAAACCCAAGAGTGTAAATCTAATCTAGTGTTCTTTGCTTTAGCCCATGTTAAAAGAAAGATGTTATGCTAAAATATACTTGTTCACTTTCCAGTTTTAATAAAAATGAAAAGCTAACATTTGTGTATAACAAGAGTTTTGCATTGTCTCAGAATTACAATTTTCTTCAATATTAGTCATTGGACCATCCTGAGGATGATGATGATGATGATTACACATGTTATAATACATATAATATGTATGTGATTTGATCAAATGTCTACTGACCTAGAACAGCCTTTATTTTGTGTAAACTTCTTCTTTTTAAACCATGATACAAGGTTTGGGGGTTTGGATGGAGGGGGGATTCCATTAAACTAAATAGGTCTGTTACTCAAGTTCTAGTAATTCAGGATTTTATCTAAATAACAGCAAAGAGTTCCTTGTCTCCCTCTGATTCTTCCTGTGTAATATGTCTTATCCCCATTGGTTTATGGAATAATATTTTTAAAAACAAGCTACTTGATAGCCTGATTAACCAAGACTTTCCTTCAGAGACTTGCCAATCATCTGCCTAAGTCCTCAAGGGGAGTGGGGCCACTTAGATGCACAGAACAGCTGGAGCATGACGTGACATGCAGATTTACTTCAAGAGATGAATCCCAAGAGAAGTGCTTAGTTCTCAGTTAACTGTGCATGGTAACGTAAGAAAATTCCAGGAAAATAAAAAATATGGGTATTTCCACAAACTAATCATTAGACAACGCTATTGCTCTCAAAACTAGCACATGTATAGTTCTGTCAAATATGCCTTCCACTATCATTAAATTAATATCATCTGAGGCAACAGAGCAGTGAGGATCCGATGAGGAGCTTCCACTAAGTTGATGGAAATAAAAGTCATGTTTTCCACATCTCTAGTCAGACTTATCTTTTAGATTATTTTTTATTTTTATTATTATTTTTTATTTTCCCATCAGGCTTTTATTATAAAGGTTAAAGGAGTTATAGGCTACACTAACAAACTGGATATCCTATATAATAAAAGCCCAGAAATTATAACAGAATAACTACCAGAATGACCACTTGGCCAGTCACTATGAGGTGCATTGAACATCGCTCGGTCCCTCCCCCCATCCCTCAGACTCCGATCACTGAATGGCAAATGGGGAACCACGGGAAACCAGAGTGGGTGATGGTGGGGCAGGACTGGGGAAATGCAAACAGGCAGAAGGCAGACCTCTTGGTCCCTCCCCATAACCCACAAACTCCCATTGCTGGATGGCAAGCAGGGAACCACGGGGAATTAGGGTGGGCAGCAGAGAGGTGGAACTGGTGAGCTCGCCCTGATCATAGGCTAGGCCTAGGGATTCTACCCACGCTGGGCCTCTAGTTTATTTTATAAGAGAAAACAAAAAAATTAGTGTGTTGACACTTAATGAAAAGCCTTTTAAAATATTCCCATTCTTCTCTAGTTTGTATGCATGGGCAGGATACCCCAACTAAAGGTGTCTAGGGATTTTCCAAGTCCTAAGGAGTTAGCAGAATATCAGTGATGCAGGCATGGTCCTTTAAATACTAAAGGAACAGTATACTGTGTTAATCTTTACCTCTATGAGGAGGATAGCTGGGAGAGGCAGGGGATAAAAGTCAATTTAAAGACAATTAAATCCACAAGAAAAACACTTGTATTGTAAATTGCCTCTTTTTTTTAAGAAAAATAATATGTGAGATAACTGATCCATTTGAAATCTAAGTTAAAGGCTGATGATGAATAGTTTGATCAAAGAGCCAAACTACACACGAGTGTAAAAGTAAGCATCAAATAGTAAAATGTCTTAAAAAGTCTTTATCACCCCTTCCCCTTGTTTATTTATGTGTATGAAAACTTGAAGCTATATTTGCAAAGGCTAAAACACAAAATTAAAAACAGAAAAAAATTCAGAAAAATCTCAAATATCTGGAAAAACAATCATTTCAAAATAAACTGTTTTTCAAAGAAAAATGGCAAAGGTAATCAGAAAATATTTCAAAATGAAACACACCATATCAAAATTTGTGAGATGCAAATAAAACAATGCTGAGAAACAATTTTATAGCATTAAAAACTTACATTTCCAACATTTTCATATGTCCAAAATCAGTTATCTTAGCTTTCACCTTAAGAAGAAAGGAAACTAAATCCAAAGTATAAGGAAGCAAGCAATAAAAACTTTAAATCAATGAAATGAAAAAGAAATAAGAGAGGAAAATCAATGAAACCATAAAGCTTCTAGTTTAAAAATATTTATATGAATGATAAACCTCTAGCTAAACTGATCAAGAAAAAAAGACAAATATTTTTATATAAAAAACAAAGTAGGATGTCACTGAACATTTTCTAGAAAATTAAACAGATAATAATAGATTATGAATAATTTCCCTGCTGACAAATTTGACAACTTGAATTAAATGGAATATATATATATATATATATATATGTAAATTCTTGACAGTGTTATAGATATATCCCATTCCCCACCCCACCC